GCACATAATTCATACGTCCCAGTGTATAATACCCAACCACACTATAATCCACCCCGAGAACCAGCATACCAAAATCCTCTAAGACCATATGTCCCTGTCCAAGCACCAATCTACCAAAATAGACCAGCATATGCACCAAGACCACATCCAAATCTTGAAGCTAGAAATGCTCGAACTTACACACCGATTGCCGAACCCTACGCCCAATTGTTTGAGAGATTGAGAAAAGCGGAAGTGCTGCAACCAGTTGAAGGAAAACTTCCTGATCCAATCCCTCGTAATTTTGATGGAACAAGCGATGCGCTTACCACTCGGGAGTCCAAGGACATGACACAGAAGATTGTTATGGTTTGAAGAACCAAATCGAATATTTGATCAAGAGAGGAGTAATCAAATGCACTACAGCACCTCCCAATGTGAACAACAATCCCTTCCCAAACCATGAGAATCGGGAAGTCAACATGGTTACTTTGGATGACGAATATGAGACCCCCGACTATCTAAACATAGATGAAGCGGATACCATGACATCTTCGGCGCAACCTGTTATTACTGTTCAACTAAGAGAACCTCTGACTGCCCAAACATATCTCCCAAGTGTTGTAGTGACCACTCTAATTTCTAGAAAGCCTGAGTATGACACCAAAGCAGTCCCTTGGGACTATTGAGCAGGTGCCAAGGGCAAGATGATCGATACTGTCGTGGCTCAAGGAATGACTAGGTCGGGGAGGTGTTATGCCCCATAGGATCTAAATTATAGAGTTCTCAGAAAAGAACAGAATCCAAAGAAGAATGTTACCGATGCTGAAGCCGCAGAGTTTTGGAAGAAGATGCAGTCTAAAGACTATTCGGTTGAAGAACAGCTGAAGAAGACGCCAGCCCACATATCCATTTGGTCTTTGCTTATGAGTTCTAAAGCTCATAGGAATGCTTTGATGGAGGTGTTAAGCGGAGTGATCATTCCAAAAGAGACCACAAGTGAGACCTTAGCTGCAAAAATTGGAAGAATAGTGGAAGCTAACAAGATTTCTTTCCACGATGATGAGTTGCCTACAGAAGGAACTGGTCATAATAAAACGCTTCACATCGCAGTCAAATGTTGTGATAAAATTGTGACTCGAGTTTTAATTGATGGTGGTTCTGGATGCAACATCTATCCTTTCACCATTTTGAGGGATTTAGGCATTAATATGGGAGAGATAAGGGAAAGTTGTGTGAAAGTTAGAGCTTTTGATGGAGCAAGAAGTGTCATTGGAGAGATTTATCTCACATTACAGGTGAGGTCGGCTGAATTCCCCATTCTATTTCAAATGATGGATGTATCATCCAACTACAACCTATTGTTGGGAAGACCATGGGTTCACATGGCAAGAGTTGTTCCTTCCACTCTTCATCAATGTGTAAAGTTTGAGTGGGGTCGCACAGAAGTTATCGTCCACGGAGAGCTCAGTCACCCCATTCATTCTGTTAATTCTATCCCAGTCACCGACGAGTTAGACGGAGCCACTTTTCACACTTTGGAAATCATGCAAGCTATAAGGGTCAATGAGGAAATAGAGCCCGAAGATACCAAATTGTCAAGTGCAGCAAAAATGGTTGCGTCAGAAATGTTGAAGTATGGGTATCAGCCAAAAAGTGGACTTGGACCCAAGTCCAACAGTATAGTTGAGCCAATCCAGCTGAAGCATCAGAGAGGCACCAACGGACTCGGATACGAGCCCGCCTTGGGAAGATTCCACCAGGGGCAAGTGATACAATCTTCTTACCAAAACAAGCTTTGATTCCAGATCAAGCTGGTGTTGATAACATTATAGAAGGAATATACGATCTGTTCGTGGCCATGGTTAGAGAAGAGGAAGAGATAAATCTTAGCAAATTGACCATTCGTGATGCTGAACCTGGAGAAATCTTGCAGAACTGAACCATCAGCCTGTCCCCGTTTCAACCAGAGTCTTGAAGTAGTCTTAGTTTTAAAAGTTTGCATGATCAAATTGAGGCTTGAATCATGCCTAATATTTTGTTGTTTGCCTCTTCTAAAAGCTAGAATGCTTTGAAATAAAAAGTCTTTATTTTCTTTTTAAAAAAATTCTCGTTATTTAAATATCTATTTATTTTTACTTACCTTGTGCACTTTTCAGCACTCATATTAATAAAAATCCTCGTTCAACGGTTATGACATGTAACGAATCCACCAAGAAAGGTGAAAGTAATGAACAATATCACGAAGAATATGATGAAAGCATGATGCCTGAAAATATACCACATGAGATCGAGTAAGTTGAAAGTCAGAAAAAGCCTAATATGGATGAAACAGAGGTTGTCAACTTAAGAGATGAGGAAATCATGAAAGAAACACGAGTCAGCATACATTTGGAGGCTGAAAGAAAGCAAGAGTTAATAGAGTTGCTTAAGCAGTACGTCGACGTATTTGCTTGGTCTTATGATGACATGCCAGGACTAAGCACCAATATTGTTTCGCACAAATTACCGACTGATCCCACTTGTCTACCTATTAAGCAAAAGACAAGAAAATTTAAGCCAAATTTGAGTTTAAGGATCAAGGAGGAGGTAACTAAGCAAATTGAGGCGAACGTTATGAGGGTTACAAATTATCCCACATGGTTAGCCAATACTGTGCCTGTGCCAAAAAAGGATGGAAAGATCAGAATATGTGTGGACTATCGACATCTCAACAAGGCCAGTCCTAAGGATGATTTCCCTCTTCTAAATATTCATATACTCATCAATAATTGTGCAAGACATGAGTTGCAATCATTTGCCAATTGCTTTTGCAGGATATCACTAAATCCTGATGGATGAAGATGATGCGGAGAAGACAACATTTATCACTCCATGGGGAGTGTTTTGCTACAGATTAATGCCATTTGGTCTAAAAAATGTCGGTGCAACCTACATGAGGGCAATGACTACCCTTTTCCACGATATGATCCACAAGAAAATTGAAGTGTACATGGATGATGTCGTTATCAAATCCAGAAGAAGTTCAGACCACCTGGATGACTTACGAAAGTTCTTTGAGAGGTTGCGTAAGTATAATCTGAAGTTGAATCCAGCAAAGTGTGCATTTGGAGTACCCGCGGGAAAACTATTGGGATTCATCGTTAGAAGGAAAGGAATAGAGTTGGATCCATCAAAGATAAAAGCAATCCAAGAGCTACCTTCACCCAAGACCAGGAAAGACGTAATGAGTTTCTTAGGAAGACTAAATTACATCAGTCGGTTAATAGCTCAATCCACAGTGATCTGTGAACCCATATTCAAATTACTGAAAAAGGATGCCGCCACAAAATGGACAGAGGAATGCCAAAAGGCTTTTGATAGAATCAAATAGTACTTGTCCAACCCACCAGTATTGGTCCCACCAGAGCTGGGAAAGCCTTTGTTATTATATTTATCTGTCATGGATAATGCATTTGGATGTGTATTGGGGCAGCATGATGAGACAAGTAGAAGAGAGCAAGCCATTTACTAATTGAGCAAGAAGTTCACACCATACGAGGCAAGATACATCTTGTTGGAACGAACATGTTGCGCTTTGACTTGGATTGCACCAAAATTTAGGCATTACATGTCTTCAGACACCACGTACTTCATCTCAAGAATGCATCCACACAAGTACATCTTTCAAAAACCAATGCCTACAGGTAAGCTGGCAAAGTGGCAAATTTTGTTGAGCGCGTTTGATATCGTGTACGTGACACAAAAGGCCAGAAAAGGACAAGCCCAGGCAGATCACCTCGTAGAAAACCCGGTGGACCAGGATTACCAGCCGCTCACAATCTACTTCCCTGATGAAGAAGTTTTGTTTGTAGGAGAAAACATATCAGAGTCATATAATGGATGGAGGATGTTCTTTGATGGAGCATCGAACTCTATTGAAGTTGGAATAGGAGCAGTCTTAATTTCGGAAATAGGTCATATTACCCAATCTCAGCCAAGATTAGGTTCTACTGTACCAATAACATGGCGGAATATGAAGCTTGTACTCTCGAACTCAAGATGGCCATAAACATGAATATCAAAGAACTCTTGGTGATAGGAGATTCCGACTTGTTGGTTTATCAAGTACAAGGAGAATGGACCACTAAGAATGTCAAGATCCTTCCTTATTTGCATTACATAAAAGAGTTAAGTAGGAGATTCACAAGGATTGAGTTCAAGCATCCCCCTCGAGCTCAAAATGAGTTTGCCGATGCTTTGGCAACATTGTCCTCGATAATTCAACATCCAGACAAGAATTACATCGACCCTATCGATATAGAGATGCATGATCAACATGCATATTGTTTTCATGTAGATGAGAAACTGGATAGAAGACCCCGGTACTATGACATCAGTAGATTAATAGAAGCACAAGAATATCCTGAAAATGCTACAAGCAAACAGAAATGGACTTTGAGGAGGATGGCCAATCATTTCTTCCTTAATGGAGAAATCCTATATAAGAGAACTTTGAATTTATGATTGCTGAGGTGTGTTGACGCTGCAGAAGCGACAGGACTTTTGGAAGAAATACATGCAGGAACATGTGGACCTCACATGAATGGGTTCACTTTGGCAAAGAAGATTTTAAGAGCTGGATATTTTTGGATGACCATGGAGAGAGATAGCATCCGGTATGTGCAAAAGTGTCATCAGTGTCAAGTGCATGGAGATTTTATACGGGTTCCACCAAATAAGCTAAATGTGATGGGTTTCCCTTGGCCGTTTGCTGCTTGGGGCATGGACGTTATCGAACCCATAGAGCCTCCCGCATCAAATGAACATCGTTTCATTCTGGTGGCTATAGATTATTTCACAAAATGGGTCGAAGCTTCGACATACAAGGCAGACTTTGTTCGCAACAACATAGTTTTTCGATTTGGAATTCCAGAATCAATTATAACAGAAAATGCAGCCAACCTCAACAGCGATCTTATGAAGGAAACTTGTGAAAGGTTCAAGATTGCTCATCGAAATTCCACGATTTACCGGCTAAGATGAATAGAGCAATTGAGGCTGCAAATAAGAATATCAAGGAGATCCTAAGGAAAATAGTGGACAGTCACAAGCAATGGCATGAGAAGCTACCATATACTTTACTTGGTTATCGCACCACAATCAAGACATCAACTGGGGCAACTCCTTATATGTTGGTTTATGGTTCAGAAGCAGTTATACCTGCTGAGGTGGAAATACCATCTTTAAGGATTATCCAAGAGGTTGGTCTGGACGATGCAGAATGGATACATAGCAGGCACGAACAATTAATGCTCATCGATGAAAAGAGGATGGACGCGGTTTGTCATGGCCAACTCTATCAAAACAGAATGACCAAAGCGTTCAATAAGAAAGTTAAACCTCGACAGTTCACACCGAGGCAGTTGGTATTAAAGAAGATCTTTACTGACCACCAAGGAGAAGCCAAAAGGAAATTTGCACCAAATTGGCAAAGACCCTACATGATTCATAGAGTACTCTCAGGAGGAGCGGTAATATTAGGAGAAATGGACGGTAGAATGAGCACAAAGCCAATCAATTCAGACGCTATCAAGAAATACTACATCTGAAGACCTTAACATTAGCGCTTATTTTGTGTACTTTTGCATTTTTCAATGTAACAGAACTACGTTTAGACCTGACTTCCCACGACGGGGTACGTAGGCAACCCACATCGGATCCGCTCTCCCTTAAAAAATCCAAAATCATCATTTCCATGTATTTAGAACTACGCTCGACCTGAAATCCCTCGGTGGGATACATAGGCAATCCTTGTCGGATTCGGTCCTATGCATTTCATATTTTTCACTTTCCTTTTGTATTTGAACTATGACCTGACCTGATTCTGCTTGGATACGTAGGCAGCCTGAGTCAGGTCTGGCCATTGTATTACATGTTCTTACAATGCATTTCATATTTTTCACTTTCCTATTGTAATATGAACTACGTCCTGACCTGATTCCACTTGGATACGTAGGCAGCTTGAGTCAGGCCCGGTCATTTCATTCCATTTCATATTTGTTTACTTCCCTATTGTAACTAAACTACGTTACGACCTGATTCCACTTGGATATGTAGGCAGCTTGAGTCAAGCTCGGTCATTGCATTACATACTTCTATTTTTTCCACTTGTATTCGAACTATGTTATGATCTGATTCCTATTTTGGGGATACGTAGGCAGCCTGAGTCAGGCTCGATCAATTCTTTGCATACCCTTAGGAAACATTCCTCATAGTTAGCGTAACCTCAGATTATTGAAGAATATCGATTGTCACAGTGTCTGCAAAAAATCTAGGAAAGCTTCATCAGAAGGGTAAAAGCTACATGAGGACTATGTTGGATATAGTCAACAAAATGGAAAGCTCGATGGACTTCGAAATATGTCATAATTTAAAAACGCTGGAGAATTACTATATATATACCCAATATATACGTAGTATACTTATTTTCTAGAAAAACAAGTTAATTCTTTTCAAAAATATTTTTTCTACTAATCCACCTACCAAGTCTCTAGGTTAAGAAACTATGTGCGGTACTGACAAGGTGTCGAAGGATTCTAGTGACGAGGCTTCAGTCCGCAAGTCGATGCACATCAACACCCCATCTCAAACTAAAATTTTCTTTGAGTGCAGGAATACAAGAATCGAGGAAAATAACATCAAGTCTTGGGGCAAGACCGAAGGCATCATTTGACTTCTACAATCATGAGCCAAAATACTATTTCCCTACTTTATTTCCCAAATGTACTTCAACTTGCATCTTATATCTAAGAACATTTCATTTTTGCAGGAACGCTCAAGATCCAGACCAAATACTGAAGAGAGGGGCCCTTCGTCGGAAAATAGAATAGTTAGCTTTCTGTCAAAATAACTCCACCAATTAGAGACTGTACATAGCAAACATCGTCAAACTCTGCCAACCGGAGGCTGTACATAGCAAATATCACTCAAACTCTGCCAACCAGAGGTTGTACATAGCAAACATCGTCAAATTCCACCAACTGGAGGCTGTAAATAGCAAACTTCGATCAAATTGCACCAATCGGAGCTTGTATATAAGCAAAAGAAGTAACACTCCGCCAATCGAAGACTAACATCGTAGCGACGTCACCGAAGCTCCACCGACCGGGGGCATGCAAGCATAGAAACGATGTCATACGCTAACAATAATATGTTACATTACAAGCTTTACACAGCCGGATCCAGGCTTTTATATTACAACAACCCCACCAGCCGGAGGCTTTACATTACAAGCTTTACACAGCCGGATACATGTTTTTACATTACAACAGCCCTGCCAGCCAGAGGCTTTACATTACAAGCTTTACACAGCCAGATGCAGGCTTTTACATTATAACAGCCCCGCCAGTCGAGGACCTCTACATTACAAGTTACTTTACCTACATCACACTCACAACAAAAAAAAAGACGTCAACAGTCGTTTGAACATCTACACTCTACTCTTTACATTACTATTTCAATTTATAATTTTTGAACCGCAATAGGTACTTTTCACCCTTTTACATGTTTTGTAGGACAAAGCATTACAACGAAGAGCTCCCTCTAAGTAGCAAACTAGGGCAAGTTAGTGCAATGTCAAGCATCACTAGCTACATCAAGGATTCACTTTCAAAGCTCAACTCAACTCGATTTTCAGAAGTTTAGATTTAAATTTCACTTATAGCTCTTTCATGTCTCAGTTCATTGTAACTCGACACTGGGGCATCCTTTTGAAAATTCATCTATCTACCTTGAGTCTTCAGTAGAAATTGCTACGGAGCATTTCTCATTCAAGTTTCTTTAGAACTATATCTCATCCCTCTATTCGTGCTAATCTCTTCATACCTCACCACCGAAAGATTTTGGTATTACCATAATTCGATATTGGGGCATATTTTTAATAAAATTTGCTATGTTCTCGAACTACATGTGGCCTGATTTCTCATGAAACCTGAGCTATGTAGGAAGCTCGAAAGCCAGAGTTCAGCCATAACTCCATAAACATTCTTGTCAAGTTATTGCTCAAAGTGTATTTTGGTGGGTCGCCTAAAATTGGATTGTGTCAATATTTCTTTTCCCACGTCTTCTTTACTCTCTTCCATGGACAAAGAAAGGGGAAAGCTGTTGACACCCAATTTTGGCTATCCACATATAATAATAATAATAATAATTATTATTATTATTATTAATATTATTATTATTATTATTATTATATGTTATGAAATTTTGTAGGAACACAAAAAGATTTTTAATTATTTATTTTTACCTCATAAATTTATTTCAATTTCTTATAAAAATTAAATATATTATATTACTACTTACTTTCTCGTTTTTAAAATAAGTGTCATTCTTAAGAATTGAATCTATTTTTGTTCAAATATAATTTCTTTTGTCGCAATAGTTATTTTTCGTACATTGTTTAAAATTAGAAAGCTTAATCAATTAATGAGTTACTAATTTATATTAATTTAATTTTTAAGAACGACTAATTTTATCAAATAAGCTAATCTTGCAAAATAATTATCTCTTATGGCTATATAATAAAGAAAGTAGTTATAATTTAAATGAATTTAATTTGAGCAAATTTGGCAATCCAAGTCTTCTTAAACCGGCCAATTCGTGTATGCCACGTAGGCGAGCACATGGATTGTGCTTCTTTAGCTTAAATCTTGACCCTACGATATAATCTAATGGTCCTAGTAATTAAGCTTTTATCATTAATATATATATATATACAACTCTTTCTTTTAATTCATGATTTATCCTAACCGTCCAATCAAACGATCGGACGGCCCGAATTAAATACCAAAGCTTTTCATCCCTCCCAAAATAGTACAAGCTGTTTCAGACTTTTCTTTCTCCAAGACGTCACTTCTTCCCCAGACGCCTTACTTCTCCCCAAACGGCGCTCCTCTCCCATCAACTTCGGACCGTCGAAAAATGGCAGTTTCCGGTGGTCATCTTTTCCCCCTGTCCGCCGTCCATCAATTAACACCCCCATCGCCTCACAACTTCTCCTCCTTCCCCATGCCCCGTCACTCCTTAGTCCCATCAAAAAACGGCTATGAACCGTCGGAAAATGTCAATTTCCGGCGGTCCCTTGCTTTATGTCTTCTCCACCATCCTTTTTCTGACGAAAAGAGATCTCTACTCCACCTACACCTATATTGTTTTCTTAACTTTTGTTCAAAATATTTTAAATTTTGTGGCTGAAACGGCTCCAAAAAGTGGTGTTGATTTGATCTGTAGCAGTAGCTCTCCATTTTCCAGTGAATATTTTGATTTCAAATTCATATTTTTGAATCCGATTTTCGCCTATAAAAGGGCAGGCGTCTTCCCATTCGAAAACACACAAAAAAAATGACATCGAGAAAAACGATTGAAGATCTACAATACTTCGGTGCTTTTAGAGTTTAAAAATTGTCTCTCTTTCTTCTCTATGTTTCCTTTTTTTGTTTCGAGTCAAAGAGGAAGTTTCGAAGTTGGAATCTTTTGACGTCAAAGCTTTGGTTTGCTGCTCAACACAAGGTAAAATTTCTTCCAATCTTGATTTATTTTAGCTTAATGTGTTGTTCGTCTTTTGCAAAAAAAAAAATTAGTCATAATTATTCTCTTTAGAAATTTCCATTTTTAGTACTTAGTTCATCCAGTAGCTTGTACTGTTTCTACTGCTTTGAGTGTATTGTGATTTTTGTATGTTGTTATTAATTCAATTGTGAGTTCCAAATAAATTGGGTGCTCTTCTCTTATATTGTTTAATCTCGACTTAATTTTCTTTTCTCGATCAACAAAAAATAGGATCTGATTCTAGCTAAAATTCAGGCTTCGGATTATAGTATGTCTATAGCTTATGTATGTTTTAGGTTTTGCACTTGTTGAAGCTCGATTTCATTATGTTTGAATGATTAATGTCGTTGCCCTGTCTTTTAGTTTGCTTTGAAGTGATTTAGAGTTACTGCTTGCTGGATACAATGCTAGTTTAGTTAAGTTCCATATGATTTCTCTTAGATCCTGTTCTTTATTTATATATGATCTGATTATTCGAACTAATGTATTTCTATCGTAGGAGCTATTTTCTTTGTCAAATAACATGTTGTATTGCATAATACTAATACACTTCTCTTGGATTGTCACTATCGAAATTAGAATCTCAAATGTTATTGCTATTCATCCTTGCCAATTAAGTGTATTTTTCTCATTCCTTTAGATCGAAAGAGTGAGTAAATGTCTTGGAATGCTACTTAAAAAATGTTGTTGAGTTATTCATGTCTTTTAATATCTACAGTTAAGTCCTTGTTTTTGCCCACTGACTCTAATCCTCTTATTTTTCTTGTGTTTCATGTATAACCGGAGGGCTGGAGTTTCTACTTTGGAACTTGTTATTGGCCTAAAATATTAGGCCAACATCAATTAGGATCACCGCAATGCTTGGAGTCCCACAAAATTAGGAGTCCAATATTTTCTTACTCTTTCTTTCGTTGTCCTAATTTATGTTGTTTTGATATGTTGGCTAACCTTTACTTACAAGTTTTTGATATATGGCTTGTCTTTTATTTTGAAGTTTATTTAC